TGCTGGCCAGCGTGGAGCACGAGCGCCACTTCCTGGCGCCCGGGGTGCGGCGCGAGGCGGTGCGCGCGGGCCGGGTGCGGGGCGCGCTCTTCCTGCCCGCAGGTGAGCCCGGGCTGCTGGAGCGCGCGCAGGTGCCCTGGGGCCCGAGCTGTGGCGCGGAGCGGGCTGGGCTGTGGCTCTCGAGCTGTCCGAGAAGCTGGCCCCGGCTGTCAGTGGTGCCCACGCTGGCCCAAGGACGCTGATATTTAGGCCCAGAGCTCTGCCTTCCCTTGCTTCATCTCGCTAATCTCCATCGCACCGCACGTGGTATAAATCCCCGCATTGTGTTCCTATCTCTATTAACATCACTTCTGTGTTGTCCCTCGCAGAATGCAGTGCGGTCCTCACTGACTGCTAGCGCTGGGTGTTTCTTTCTCTTTTCTCCTCATAGACATCCGAAATTGATAGCACACTAGAAATTCCAGAGTTGATGCAGTACATGTAGCTTTTTTTACATTCTTAATTCTATGTCGAATTCTCCAACAGAGCACTCTGTATTAACACAGATTTCTCCTTCTACAATGTTCTCATTAATGAAAGGCTTTATTACTCTTCTTTATCCTAGCTGATGATTCTTAGAAGCGCTGGATAGCCTTTCCTAGAATCTCATGGAGAGTCAAATAATCCCAAGTACCCTGGTTGGAACCCCCGCAAGGAACTTGTCTGTCCTTGCGGTCGTGCCCAGAGGACCTGTCCTCTTCGCTTTGATTCATAGGAACTAAATAAGTGGTGGAGCTCTGTAAGAGGCAAGTAAATGCGCTGAATTGGGTGCTGTCTTCCCTGCACACTGTCTTTCTCCAGGGCCCGGCCCCTTCCCAGGGATCATTGACATCTACGGTGTTGGAGGGGGCCTGCTGGAGTACCGGGCCAGCCTGCTGGCGGGCCATGGCTTTGCCTCTTTGGCCCTTGCTTTTTATGACTTTGAAGATCTCCCCAAGGATTCCAGCAACCTACACCTGGACTACTTTGAAGAATCCGTGGGCTTCATGCTTCAGCACCCCCAGGTTCTCCTGTCCTTTCTTTAATCAGTTTCTAGAAACATCTCTGGCAAGGTAACCTGTACCTGATGCAGTGGTGTTGCTGGGCTTTCTTCACAGAGATTTCTTTTGGAGAGTCCCTTGGCTCTGGTGCCTAATAGTTTCATTTGTCCTGTCAGATGAATTCATGACGTAGAAGTAATTTCACATTCACGTTACATTCATTTGGTGATACTAAGTCTTCAGCAGTCCAGATGGAGCAGCTCATCTTTGCATGCTTATGGTTTCATGTTTAATGTTCTGATATCAGAGCATATTTTTACATTTTGACCTGATCACTCTGTTTATAACCACTTCCTAAATTTACTAGTGAGTTTATGATTTGTTTGGTTTGTGTGTAACCAGATGTTCAGTACTTAGGAAGAAATGCCCCTGTTAGCCGATGTTGTAGGTAGTTCACAGATTAAAACTAGCACCGTTTCTAATTGCATTTTTCTTTTTTGAGGCAGGATCTCCCTATGTAGTTCAGGCTAACTTTAAACTCACTATGCAGCCCTCATTAGCCTTGAATTCACAACAGTCCTCCTGCCTCAGCCTCCCGAGTACTAGGATTATAGGTGTGCACCATCACACTCAGCTCTTATTTTTAAAAAGCAGTTTAAATTTTTATTTGTGTGTGATGCTGGGAATGAAAGGCACTCTACCATTGGGCCACCTCCCTAGCACAGACAATCAACTTTGACCTGATTTTTCTCTTTCTTCCAGGTTAAAGGCCCAGGCATTGGGCTTCTGGGCATTTCTCTAGGAGCTGATATTTGCCTCTCCATGGCCTCATTCTTGAAGAATGTTGCAGCCACAGTTGCCATCAATGGATCTGGGACCAGTGGAAGCAGAACCATACACTACAAACAGACTAGCATCCCACCATTGGGCCATGATCTGAGGAGAACCAGGGTCACTTTCTCAGGCATCCTGGACATTGTGGACATACGGAATGACCTCATAGGAGGGCATGAGAATCCCAGTATGATTCCAATAGAGAGGGCTGAGGGGCCCATACTCTTCATTGTTGGTCAGGATGACCATAACTGGAGGAGTGACTTCTATGCCCAAACAGCCTCTCATCGATTAGAGGCCCATGGGAAGGCAAAGCCCCAGGTCATCTCCTACCCTGGGGCTGGTCATTACATTGAGCCTCCTTACTTTCCTATGTGCCCAGCTTCCCTGCACAAATTACCAAACAAAACTGTAATCTGGGGTGGGGAGTTCAGAGCTCATTCCCAGGCCCAGGTAGATGCGTGGAAGCAAATCCTGTCTTTTTTCTCCAAACACTTGGGAGGTACCCAGGACAGAGTTCCCCCAAAATTATAATGCATTTTCTGTTGCTCAGGTGGAAGATTCATGGTTAGATTCTAGTGTTCAGTAACTGTATGGGAATCTGTAGTTTCCTAAATAAAATTAAATTTAAGCCTTTGGCATTAATGCTCTATTTTAAGTAATTTTATTGAATATGTTGTATTTGTCTCTTCCGTATGTTACTAATACAATGAATTCCTGTTGTAGAAAACTCAGACATATACTACAGAAGAAAGTAAAAAAGCATGCTCATCAGTAAAGGATTTGTTCTACTTTCCTTTTATATTTATTTATTTATTTGTACTGGGAGGCAGAACCCAGTGGTCTTGTACTGAGCCAGCCATTTATAATTTTTTTTTTTTTTTTAATTTAGAGACAGGGTCTTGTTAAGTCACTGAATTGCCTGGGCCTGGCTTGAACTTGGCATCTTCTTTCCTCAGCACTCCTAAACCGAGGTGAGACCAGGGCTCATCTTAGCCCATGTGGCAGATAATGTGGGTGAAAAACCTCCAGAGAATTCTATCCCCAGCCGTTTGAGTCCTCCCAGAATAGCCTCCCAAACACCCTAAACAGAGAAGAGCTATCCCTAAAAAGCCCTGTTGGAAGTTTGGAAATATGAACAAGTAATTAGGTGTTCTTGTTTCAGGTAACATGTTTTAAATTGTTTCCACTGTCTGTTTGCTGTGTAACAAAACACCCCAAAGCACAGTGGCTTGAACTCACCCATTTATTTTTCTCAGAACTCTGAAAGTTGGGTAGGAATCGGTCCCTCCTGTTCTGCTGGCTTTGGCCATGGCCTTTAAGGGTTAGAGGAGCTACCCTAATCAGAGCCTGGGTGCTCTGCTGGCGGTCACCTGGGAGCTCAGGAAGGGCTAGGGGGCTAGTGGGGGCCGTTCCTCTCCACCTGGGCCTTTCCACTTGCTTTATAGGGCTGAGTCCCAGGAGTCAGTGTTCCAAGAAAGGGAAGCACAACTACCTGGCCTTCCTTGGTCCTGGTCCTGGGAAACACATGGAACCTCTTGTCATCCTCCGTGGGTCGAGTTCGTCACAGTGGCCAAGTTCAAGGATGATACAGAACCTACTTCTTGAGAGAGCGAGGGTTTTAGAAGAACATGAAGTGGGAAATGCTGTAGCCCACTTTGGAAATACAGCCCACCTTCTAGGCAGCCCTCCTCCCAAATGAAAAACACCCATCCCTCATCTATGACCATCAGATTGCCGTTTCTTATACCACCGTGCCCAGGCTCTACCTCGGCCCAAGAGCTCTTCATCTGTGTAAGTCCAGGCACAGATGGACTCCTTGGAACAGTCCTGTGGGCACAGCTCTGAGCGCTATTGGCCTCAATCTAAACACCTGTGAAATAAACAAGTCAACCGTCCCTGCAGACCACACCACAAAGGCAGTGGTATAACTCGTGTCAAGAGCCCTACTCAACAGTGGGGGAAGTGGGAGACACAGAGCTCCCACTGGGCCTCAGTAACTCTGAAATCCCCTGAGAACATGCTCCCAACTTCCTTAGTAACAAAGAGTTTGGCAATTTCCATCAGCCAGGGCGTAGTTCAAAAGGTTTTGGTAGTTTTGTTTAGCAGGTGGTTTGGCTTTCCTCCAAATATACCCTTATCTGAAAACAACAAACATGTGCACTGATGGAAGTCTTATAAAGAAAAGTTAAATAATAACTAAGCTGTAAACCAGCAAGAACAATACATGCAAAACCTGAAATGCTATTGTGTGAAACGATTTATATATAGGCAGAGATTTTAATTTTAATTAATTAATTATTTTGTATTTTAGGGAAGGGACTACAAGGTGTTCAGGGTCTCATTCGTAGTGATCTGCCTGTTTACAGCCTCCCAAGAGCTGGGATTACAGGTTTGTGTCACCACGCCCAGTCTCAAATGTTGGCTCAGCGTGCCCTGGGGGCAGGGCCAGCAGGGCAGGCCTGGGGATTGAACCCCCAGTACCTGCGCCTGCTTACAGGCACTTTAATCTGTTGAGCTATTTGGCTGGCCCGAGATTTTAATTTTAGAAAATGAGTAATTCAAGCAAAAATCAACATATGAAAAGCAAATGTCTCAGTTACTCTTCTCTCATTGGTGGGAAAAATGCCTGACACTCAAAATTAGGGAAGGAAAGGCTTATTCGGCTCACAGTTACTGGAGGTTTCAATCCATACTCAGCTGACTTCAAGGCAGAGTGGCACATGGCAGAGAGCAACCTTTCATGGTGACAGCAGAGAAGAGAGCCAAGAGCATGGCAGCAGCTCAGGCGGCTAGCCCGCCTCTCTCCCTCCTTACACTGTAGTGCAGATTACCTGCCCCAGGGCAGCAGGGAGAGCATCCACATCCACGGTAATCAATCACAGACTCCAGAAGCTGCCCCATGACTGCCTGAGGCTTTGGGGGGGACACCTAGACACAAACCATAACAGCAAACTTCATTTCGATATGAATTTTTTCCATATTTATAAACCTTTGGTAAGATCCATATGAGTGCAGACTTAAGAAACTGTTCAAGTGACCTCACACAGGTCACCTTGCCTTGTTAAAATCAGTTATAATCCATACAATTCTAATGATATTGCTTAAAATGTAAAGCTGGGGTGTATCCTTGATACTGAAAATAAAAGTTTACATTTATTTCAATCTTACGACATAGGGATAATTTCAAATTTCACTTTGTAGCCTTTCTTGCTCCCCAGCCATCTTGGCAGCTGCTCCTGGTTGGGGGCTGCCCGCACCTGAGGCAGGAAGATGGTGGCCGCAGAGAGGATGCAAAAATCTCTGGAGTCCATCAACTCTAGGCTCCAACTTGTTATGAAAAGTGGAAAGTACATGCTGGGGTACAAGCAGATGCTGAACATGATCAGACAGGGCAAAGCGAAATGGGTCATCCTTGCCAACAACTGCCCAGCCTTGAGGAAATCTGACATAGAGTACTAGGCCATGTGGCCCAAACTGGTGTCTGCCACTACAGAGGCAATAATATGGAACTGGGCGCAGCGTGTGGAAAATACCACAGAGTATGCACACTGGCAGTCACTGATCCAGGTGATTCTGATATCATCAGAAGGCTGCCAGAACAGACCGGGGAAAAATAAACCAAGCAGAAGTTTTCATTAATAAAACCTGCTAGAGCTTGAAAATAAATAAATTTCACTTTGTCTGAGAGCACTATTAACAAGTTTGACCTATGTCCCCATCCATAGTTAGGTTAATGGTATTCTGTGGGAACAGATGCGAATTCGGTGTTCATAGACATGGTCACACACAGAAACTGACTCACCACACAGCTCTCCAAGGGTACTGCAAGATGTGGTTTACTGTTCGGTTTGGGAAAAGCAGTGTAACACAGTCAGAAATAATTGCCTTCACTTATTTTTTTTTCATTTTCTTGATTCTGATTCAGTTGGTGTGTTTCATCAGGGAGGGTCACGGATATAATCTTGCAAAGCAAAATCCCTAAGTAGTAAACAGAAACATTATTGTAAAGGACTGCAGACAACTGTGTTCATATTGTAACATAAACTGGAGCAGATCAAGCTTTCAGACCTTCTTCTTCCACGGGATGCACTGCGTCCTGGCCAAAATGGGCTTGGTTCCTTGTTGTCAAGTGTCACCAGTCACTGGGGAGCTCTGTAGGACAGATGGAACATGATGACTCACATGTGGGTAGTGCTGGCTGGAGGAAGGTGCCTCTCCACAGGGATCGAGGCGAGTTGCTTCTGCAGCAGCCGGGAAGCTCACGCCAAGAGCCGGAGGGGAGCACTGCAGACAGCTCGGACAGCGTCGTCCCCCACCCCACTGCACAGCACCACTGAGGACGCTGGGGAGGACGCCGCACAGCCAGAGCTGCCGCAGCAGCACGTGCATGACGTCCACCTCGGCCATGTCACTCAAATCACAGAGCACTAGGCACCAGGCACATGCTAGCGAGCCGAGCTGGGAAGCCCGCAGGCTTCCGTCACCTTTGCCATCTGTGGTCTCAGTGTCCAACAGAGGCTCACGCTGATTATTTTGGTATAAAAGCGAAGAGGAAACCTTAATATTTTAAGTACTTATGACACAGGTGTTGGGAATTATACAGTTCAGACCTGTAGTGATGCTCCTGTCTCAGCCTCCCCAGCACTGGGATTACAGGCATGCGCCACCAAGCCTGGTTCTGGGACTGGCACAGCATGTGGTACCTGGGATCGAACTTGCCCGCGCAGGCAGGCGCTTATGCCATTGGCCTATCTCCTCAGCCCAGGCTGACAATTTTAACTTAAGCTTCATTTTGACATTTCCTACCTTATTCTTTTGTGTAGAATGTAGGGTATGCAAATGTAAGTGACCTCAACAGATAGTAAATGCTATTTTGCAAATACGAAGTAAAATCAGCTAATAATGCAGCACAATTAAAGGCACACAGTGAACAGAGCTTCCATGCTGCAATACTTCTTGCCCCTCAGTATCCCTCAGTGTCTTGATATCTGAGTGCACTTCTTCACTGACTCACAGAAACTAAGCAGAAAACCAGTATGACAAAGCGAAGTGCCGAACACTTCAGTGGGAAGAGGCTGGAGCTGTCAGGTTGTCAAATAATGAAAATAGCAAACGCAGGGGCTGGGGACATAGCTTGGTGGTCCAAGAACCTGCCTGGCAAGCTCAGGGGCCTGGGTTCTACCCCCAGTACTGCACGCGGTGCCAGCCATGTGGTGAGCCCCTATACCAAATAAATAAATGGAACATTAAATATTTTAACAAATAGAAAATAGCAATTGTTAATGAAATATATAATATTTCACAGTATTATTATTGCAAAGTAATATTAACAATACAGATATCAGAATTATAAAACAATAGCCAATTACAGACCTACCAGTTGCCAGAAGGTGACTTTAGTACACGGAACATGCATATAACGGACAGCATAGACCCCAGCTAGCTTTGGCTTTTCAGCAGCCCCTGTGCTAATGACAAAAAACGTGTGCTTGTCCTAAATCAAAGGCGTATGAGTTTCTGTATAAAGTCCATTTTACCTGATATTCAACTAATAGGGCTTTATTTTTTTAAGGAATTTTAAAAAATTTTTTAAAAAGACGTTTATTTATGTGTGTGCGTGTGTGTGCGTGT